TGGGTGTGGCGGGGGCAGCTCAGGGCCCGGCTGCCCTTTGAACAAGGGAGAAAGGGCTGTTGAAAAAAAAAGGGAGAGGAGAGCAGAAGGGGGGCGCGACCCGCAGCAGGCGGCATTCCTTGCGCCGCAACAGGCAAAACACGGAAAGGGGTGGCTCCCTTAGCTGGCCCCGCACCTGCCGGCGTACAGCATCTGCTTATACTGGCGAGCCAGGTGGTCGGTGTTGTAGCGGTGGCCCGCCTTGCTGGCGCCCCACCGCATCTTGCCGCCCACGCCGCCGCCGGAGCCAAAGGTGCGCACAAAGGCAGAGGAGGAGGGCGCGCCGCCGCCGCCTATGCCGCCCGGCCCGCCGCCGCCGCGCCCGCGCCCGCGCCCCATCCCAAACCCGCGGCTGCCATCCATGCTGGGCTCGGCGGGGCCAAAACGCGTGGCGCCTGCGCCGGGGCCGCCGCCACGCCAGCTGTCGCCGCGGGGCGCGCCTGCAAGGCCGACAGCGAAGGGCGGGGTGGGCGGTGGGGAGTGTCAAATCTGTGTGAAAATCACTTCCAACCTTGGTTGAACCAAATCAGATGTGGCAAACGCCCGCCACACGTCGACAACAGGCCACCTTCCCACCATGCATGCCTGCGAGGCGACTGGTAACGGGCGCCCCCTGGCCACCCTGCACCCCGCCTGCTGCCCCACCCAGCACAAGCAAGCGGCAGGCCAGCGCACCTGGCGCCCCGCCGCCCCAGCGGTCGTTGTTGCGCCAGCTGCCGCCGCCGCCGCCCAGGCCGCCGCCGTCGTTGCCGGTGCGCCACTCCCCGCCCTCCCGCTCCCGCGGCTTCCAGCTGTCCACCTCAGCCACCCTGCCCCTGCCTCGCGACGGCACATCCGTCCAGGCAGGGTTCTGCGGCTCAGCATACTGCCTGCCGGCAGGCCCCGCAGCCTCGCCGCCCTCGACCCAGCGGGCGTTGTCCCGCCGCTGCACCGGCTCCCGCTCCTCCTCGCGCCAGCGGCTGCCGCCGATGCTGGTGTCGAAGCGCGAGGTGGCCAGCTTGGATGAGGAGTCGCTGCGGGTCGCGCTGCTGCGCCAGGGGCCCGTGGCAGCGGCACCCGCCGCCGCCGGCCGGCCCCCATCCTGCACAGCGGCGGCGGCGGCATGCTCATCAATGCGGCGTGGGCCAGGGGTGCCGCCAGCCTGCTGTGGTGCAGCCATGCGATGCCGGCAGGGCGTGGGGTGCATGTTGTTGATGGCCACTCACCACCCAGGCGCTCTGGGGCTTCAGCAGGGCCTCGGTCTCTTTGTTATTTCCTGCAAATCATCGTGTCCACACGGTTAGGCAGTGCAGCAGGCTCTCGGCTTGGCGGCAGGCCCCGATGTTGGCCACTCACCGCTGGCCATGGCGGCAGGTGGCGTGGGGTTGCAACCGTGTGTGTGGTTTCGCGCGTTTGGCGATCGGTCTAAGCGCCTCCAGAGGAGCGGGCCCTTGAGTTGGCGTGCTGCCTGCTGTGCGTTTGCCTGGTGGGATGCCGCAAATTGGGAAACAAAACATTCCTGCGCACCACACCGATCGAGAGATTGCCGGCACCGCCGCCCACCCAGCGATCATCCGCCTCGCATCAGTTGCCAGTCAACCTTTCGCTCGAGCCCACAGGGCAGCTGGTTGAGCGCAGCAGTGGGTGCTCGTACTGCGTTGTGCAGAGCAGCAGCCGCAGCAGAGCAGCGAGCCACTGCCGCCAGTGCGCGCTTCCTGCCGCCACCGCCTGCCGCCTGCCATGGCGCGGCCACAGCTCAACGCCGACATGGTAGGCCCGCCCGCTGCCTGCCTGTGCATCACTGCGTGTCTCGGGAGCGCTGCAGCGCCTGGGGTGCATCGCCCTGCAGCCAGCAGCCGGGCATCTCCCCCGGCTCCCGCCGCACACCCTGCCCTTCCGCGCCCCGCCCCCGGCCTGCAGGCCGCGCTGCGCAGCTACGTGCTGGCGGACTCGGGGGCGCAGAACCAGGCCGAGACCACGGTGCGCCTGGTGGTCACCCACAGCAACCTGCAGGCAAAGTTCATGGACATCCGCCTGGACCTGCACGTGAGAAATATGCGGGTGGTGGGTGGTGGGGGATGGCGTGATGGTGTGTATGTGTGTGTGTGAAGGATGGTGCGTGTGTGGCGGGTGGTGGGAGAGCAGGGGGGCATGTGGGCAGGAGGACGCACCTGCTGCTGCCCTGGTCGGCGGGCGTGCACGGGGCAGGGCGCAGCGGACAGGCTGGCAGGCGCAGCGCTTCCTGTCTTCTCGGGCGTTTGGCAGGGCATGTAGGCGTGCATGCACGGTTGGCTGCGGCCCCCAGTCCCCCTCCTGCTCCGCTCAGCGCACTCCTGCCATGCCACCCAGCCTCACGCCCTGCCCGGGACCCCCTCCCCCCCCACACAGATGACCATCGACGCCGTGAAGCGCAAGATGTGCTTCCACTGCGGCACGCCGCCCTCGGCACAGGCGCTGCAGCTCAAGGACGAGCGCGGGCGGGTGGTGGCGGCCCTGCAGGACGACTCCCGCAAGCTGGGCTTCTACTCTCCCCGCGACGGCTTCATCCTGCACATCGTCGACACAGATCCCACATCCATCTCGGGTGGGGAGGGGCAGGGGCGGGGGCGGTGGGGCGGGCGCAGGCCCGGCAGGCAGGTTTGGACTGCCATTTGCCATCTCACATCGGCGTTGCCCCGCCTGCCTGCTTGCCTGCCTGCCTGCCTGCCTGCCTGCAGCCAACGGGTGGCTGGAGGATGTGAGCAAGGTGGAGAAGTATGTGATGAGCGATGAGGCGTATGCGGAGCGGGACAACACGTACCGCAAGTGAGGGACTGTTTAGCCTCACTTCATAACCCAGGGCTAAAACTAAAATCAGATGGAGAGCTAGCCCCTTGTGCTGCTGCTTGCATGCGTCCAATCCCCCACCGATCCGCCACTCGATGCCGCTGCAGGTACAAGGAGGCGCGGCTGGCGGCTGACCCCACCTGGACGCTGCAAAAGGAGATGGCGGCACGCAAGACGGCGTCAGCAGGGGTGAGTCAATGCCCAGTGCCTGTGCTGGGCTGCGCATGGGCCTTGGGCCTGTTGCACGGCAGGCAGCGTGCATGCTGTGTGGGGCAGGCGTGACTCTTGCCAGCTGCAGCCGAACTGCTGGCTGCTGCTGCCCTCTGCCCTCACGCCCACCCACCTCACCCCTCCCGCCCTGTAGTTGCCGCAAGCGGGGCCGCCTGCTCAGCAGCAGCAGGCATTGGATGAGCAGCACCAGGCGGCCGAGGCGGCGGCCATCCAGGTCGGCAGCCGGTGCGAGGTGGACGGCGGCAAGCGTGGCACGGTGCATTATGTGGGGCACGTGGAGGGCCTGCCGCTGGGACACTGGGTGGGCGTGCAGGTGGGTGGCATCTGGAAAGGGCGCTGCCGGCACCGCCTACTCCCCTCTTGGCTGCTGGCGCCACTGCTCGCAGCGCCAACTGCAGGAACAGCATGCACCCCATAGCCCTCGCTTCCGGTACAGCCTACGCCCCTCTCGTCTGGCTGCCACCCACCCCTGCCGCATGCCGCATGCCTCTGCAGTACGACGAGCCGGTGGGCAAGAACGACGGCAGCATCAAGGGCAGGCGCTACTTTGAGTGCAGCCCCGGCTACGGCGGCTTTGTGCGCCCCTGCCTGGTGCGTACCGGCGACTTCCCTCCCTTTGACGAAGACTTCAGCTTTGACAGCGGGGACGAGCTGTGAGGCTGGGAAGCACACGTGGATGGCAGGGAAGTGGAGCAGGCGCCAACCCAGGTCCTGAGTGTTGTTGCCAGTTTGCTTGTTGCTTGTGTGGGCTTAAAGTCTGGTAAAGCAAGAACTAGCTTGCAACATAGACTCCCCGCCGAAACGGGACGGGAACCGGGCGAAAGCAGAGAAAGCAATAAAAACAGGGGTGGAGCAAGGCGACATGCAACGCAAGCAGCTGACAGGGCACGCATCGAAACGTGTGTATGACTGGCAAAGTGGCATGGCGCATTGGGGAGAAACGCAACGGTACGGGAGCATGGGCTGGCCAAACGGCAGTGCGGAACGCTAGGTCACTAGAAAAGCAGGGAAAGGCGCACTATGTATGCAATGAGGGCAGCCCCGGCTCGGGGCCGTTGAGAAAGCAGTGGGCGGGAGGGGGGAGGCCCCGGTGTGGGCGGGCCCCATCGAGGGGGGATGGGGCGCGCAAGCGGCCAGATGGGGCGGGGCGCGGGCGGCAGTAGAGTCCCT